TCCTTTCAAAGACTTGTCCTCTATCAACTCGTCAGTGTAACAAATCTCAACATGATGAATGAAAAGCAGTAGAAATAACGTAGTTTATGAAATGCTGGAATGTTATCACGAGTTCACCTTATTCGGTAAATGGAGCACAGATCAATGATCCAGTGACACGATAGGCTATTCTAATCCGTTTGTCCCAGCCCCGGCTAACTATATCAAGAAGTCTTGATAGGGCGTAGAAAGTGTATTCTACAAGCACCCAGAAAATACGAGGTGTCCAAGCTCACAAATCAAGTTTATTTGTACAATGATAGAGACACCCCTGGGAGAGCTATAAAATAGCGTACTAAAATAGTCCGCCAACCTATGACAAAGAAGGATTTCCGAGTAGGAAATGTGAAATGAAGGTCAACTGGCGCAAAAACATGGAAATTCAAACTTTCAGAATAAAATTACAAAGTTAGGATCTTTCCATGTGAGTTCTGGTGATCTAAAGTCCCCAACAGTTTAATGCCTAAAATTAAGTACCCATAGTAAAGTATTCGCTTTTAATCAGCGGTCAACTACTAAACAAACAGGAAAATCCTGAGAAGGTGTTTGCCGATATTGTACACATATTGAATATTGAAAAAGTGGATTCATATCTTCTTTCATCGATTTTTTGTGAACATAGGAATGCAAAATACCAGAGATAGGAATAATAAACCATAAACTAAGACCATGGGAAAGAGTGATATTGCGATATTCAACAGACTGTTTTTGTATACACAACTCAAGTGTTAAATTGCATATCACCGAAATGTACTTGATATGAATTAAGTTGATTAGAGAGTGCACCTTTCAGTGTGTTCGATTGGATTTTGTGAATAATAATAGAAGATAAACTAAAAATTGAATATATTGCGTCTACTTCATATTAAAGAATCGATGATGTAATCCGATAAGTTTGCTAATTAAACAAGATATATGAATACTTATCCGCTTCTAATAACCCTAGACTCGAATCCAAACAAAAAGGCACAAAGTACTGGAAGAACGCTTCACTCCAGGGTTAGTTTATGTACAGTTAAATGAAATTATTCGTAAAGTTACTTATCACCTTAGGCTTCTAGTAGGTTCCAGAGTAACTTTATAACTAAATATCCAGTCAGATTCGTCTCATATGATTCTGGCTTTTTTCAGATGCTTCTATGAAGCTCCTATTGGATATTCACTGAATAAAAAACATTTTTACAAACTTTTTCATGAGCTATTTCAAAACTCCTCAATGGAATCAACCTATTTTGACTCATTTTCCTAATCCACATGAATAAGACACCCCTTGAATCATTACTATAAACAACCTATTTGACTAGTCAAACAAGTGCAAATCAACACACATTTTAAAATGAATTCATTCGATACAAGAATCAATATACTCAATTATATCAATTATCTGTTCATTAAATTGAATATTGAATAAATAATATTTCAAAATTCACCATACTACTTACATTATCTGAAATATCATATTCTAACATTTTGGATTTACGATGTAAATATTTCAAAATTGATATGGCATTCGATTCAGCAATAAAATGTAAAATTGTAAAACCTTGCTAAATAAAATAAAATAAAATATAAGAGAATTGATAGAAAGTATCAAACAGTGAGAAAAAACTTATTGGAATAGTATTCTCATTCATCAATAGTACAAAAATCACATGTGTGTTTACTTGTTCGAAGTTTTAAAACGAAAAAATGAACTGATAATGATGATGATGATGATTCTGCTCAGTTTGATTGAATTCACATGATACACTGAAATAACCACTATTGAATTAATTTCTGTTTTTAAAGAAAAAAAACCTTAAACCATTGACAATTGTAAAAGATTTGTGTTTAAATAAAACATTCTTTTATGTTTTTTTTATGCAGTTTAACAAAGAAAGCACATTCAGATGAACAACAAAGTATAAAATCATGAATCAGTCATTGTTAGATTGCAGTGAAGGAGAACACAGGTGAGGACAACCGAACTGTATTGAACGAAAATTACAGAGTTACTCAGTAAAATAGGAAAACCATATCGTAAACCGTTAATTTGCAAAACATCAATCCATTGTCTGACATTTCACTTATTCATGCGTTTGATACAAATTCCATTGTGTTCCCACTCTTCCTTTCTTGATCTTCCCCTATCTTCTGCTGCCAGACATTACGTTTACACTCACGTCATATAAGTAGTGCGCACCACAAGATCACTATTAAAAACCTGGAAGCACCGGATGACCGTTTTGTCCCCCCACTATAGGACTCATCGACCGTTTCCATCCACCACTTGCACTCCCCGAAATCGAGAACACGACCATCGGTATCGTGCACTAACTCTTAACCTCTAGGTCACTGAGCTGGTATATGACGGTGTTATTGTCTAATTTTGTTTAATCCAAGTTATTGCGCAACCTCACTCACTATCTTCAATGAGTAATTAATTGCTTCACACCCGAGAGGCTTATGCTCTGAAAGTCAGGGCTTCTCACTAGAACTCCGAGAATTTCCACACGAAACTAGTCACTGTTGAACACAATGAACAATTTATATTCTCAGTGAAAATCAAGAACCGTCATAACTCTATATATAGAAAAGTTTCAATATGATTTTAGGTTGCATGAATGCGGTATTTTAATGGAGAACCTTCGATAGTCAATATGGAAATGAACTGACCAATTATTTGACAAACGTTGCATCAGCCTCACCTGATGGCTTTACCTGTGAATAATTGTTTTTTGGAGTTTTCGTCACCTTCATTTCTATGTACATGTTGATTGATTATCTTGTTTGGTTGACCTAGAGTCATGTGATTAGTTAGTATTTTTTTGGTAAGGATTGACCAATAGGATCAGTATTAGTATCCTAAATGATTATTAGAGATCGAGCTGAATTTCATGACTCAAAGGACTCTCTGAAATTCTTTGAATTCCTTCAAACTAGAATGTTGATGCTTTTCAGATCAACTTAGACAGAACATTTCTACACATAAATGATATATTGACGATGCTGTTTAAACCACCGAGCTTATAGAAGAACACAACACAAATGAAAACATCAGCACCCAGTGGGGAATCCTTTTCATATCTCCAAATTTCATCATTACCAAAGGGTTGAAATATCACTTTGTTGACATTTTGATCATTCATTTTTTGTAAGAATAAATTCAGTGGAGATTAAGTTATTATAGCTCATAATTTTCAAAACTATTTAAAAAATCAATAACTCAATCAAACAACGACATTGTAATAGAATCCGGTGAGAAAATGTATTATTGCCTAATAAGTTGAATTAATTCAACTTAGCTCTAAGCCCAAAAACATCAGGAGAGTTCAACATAATTAGGGCTTGTAAACCCCAATCTCAGTTCACAATCCCTATTTGTATCTATTCCAAGCTTTGTAATGATACCGCGTTGAGAGATTGAGTTGTATCATCAAGACTATATATGATGGATGAACAGTCTTTTTTTACCATGGGGATAAAAACATGTGATATAAGTGAGATTCTAAAACTCTAGTACAAACAGACATCAAGAGGTCCTAAGGGTATGAATAATATATTGTATGAAATGAATTCGGACACTGGTTATCATGAAACATTAAATCCTGTCATTTCTTCCCTCTACTTTATCGATTCGACCCTCAACTTATACACCCATAGACTAGTTCTCCCAAAGAAAATAACTTATTATCGTTTGAGTAACCACGAAGCACTATAACTGTTGCAATTTCAAAGAAACAGTTAAACACAACCTACCATAATAGTTTAGAATGAATCGATGATTTGAAGGAATCATTCAATTCGGTGTAAATTAACAATATCTAAGTTTGTAACAAGTTTTTTATTTGATTGACTGTCTATTTTTTTCCTTCACCAAAAAATCACTCAACTTTACAACACAATAAAACAACCATTAAAAAAAACACTTCATACTCATTTCATTTGCAAACATTAAAAGTACAATTGTATTGATTGTCAAAAATAGAACAAACACAATACACAATCGAGGTATAATCGATCGATTTTGTACAATATAAGAGATACAATATATATATATATATATATATATATATATATATATATATATATATATACACTTTATATATTATTAATAAATGATTAATTTCTAGTGTATTTTATAATTCAGTAGTACAAAAGATAGAAAGAGTGAGTGGAGAAAATTTTGAATTGGTTCATATAAACAATGTACTTGAAATTTGTAGTAAAGCAGTGAAATAATAGCCATAATCCTATATTGATAATTATCAGTGATTAACTGCATGAGGAAGTTGTTGGAATTCTAATGAGACGTTATGACAAGTAGAGTTCATTCTGTGAAACATTTACCCACAATGGATGATTATGATGTAATATCATGGATTGATTAGCACCGTTAGATGTTGGCTCGGTGGTGGAGAGGTTAAGCGTTCACTCGTGAGTTCGAGTAAACTAATCAGAACTAATCAGAAAACCACCTTTACTTATTTTGCTCGAAATTTACATTTCATTGATACAGATATATTTTCAATTAGAGTTATGGAGATTCGAGTTTTTATACATTTGAAATCATCAATCAATCATTGTAAGACCAACATTAGAAACCTGGAAGCACTGGACGGCCGTTACATCCCGGTATAGCACTCATCAGCAGTGTGCATCCACGACTCCTGCATCTAGCAGGATCCGAACCCGGGACCTTCGGTGTTGTGCGCGAACGCCTAACCATTAAACCACTGAGCCGGCATTCGATGGTGTTAATGTCTAACTCTGATTGATCTAGGGATTTTGCGTCACCTCATCTGTTTGTCTTCGGTAGTTACTGCCTACACCTGCCAGGGTTGAACTCCACTGGTCACGTCTTCTCACTAGAACTTGTATGTTACTATTAACGAAGTAAAAATTAACAATATATGGTCCTTAAAAATACTTAACATCAATAAAAAATTTTATTTCGAAGCCGAGATGTAAATTTAAGATGGTGCTTAAATACATTTACAAAACATAACTGCTCTCAAGCCAGGTTAAGTGTGAAAGTACTTGTTGTGATTAAGGGTATTTTTCAAGAGTGTTCATTGAAACTCGATAATATCCTGTTACTCTGAGTCTTAGCTACAAGTCTCTCAAGTTAATAGTTAATATCAATTCGTGATGAAAAATTCTAACCCTAATTTGTAAACTTTACTCAGAACTCCAAATAAACTCCTAATATGTAGCCCTCATCTTGAAGAATCATACTTGATCTTAGTTGGTGATGAAGAAAGAGTCTATGAAATAATAAGCCAAACTCATCACACCAGACTGTCTTTAAATAGGTAAATTTTGCCTTTTCCTTCCACTGAAATGAATAATTCAACACATGAGAGTAGATTTTTAAGTCCAATACTATCAAAGTCGTCAGTATAATCAAACTTTAACAAAAATTAACATTGGTCAATCAATATTCAATGAACATTGAAACTATCTCAGTTTGTAATATAGAAACACTGTTTATTTGTTACACCAATATAACCCTTTAGAATATTATCAGAAAGAATGTAAATTGTACTCACCTTAGTAACTCGATTATGTTTAGCTCCCATATCTAGTAGATAATGAGCTACTTGTTTATAATTGTTATATACAGCCCAAAATAATGGTGTAATACCAAACTGTAAAATAAATTTTATTGAAAAAAAAATCGATATGGAATTGTGTTCTTTTTTTAGACAATAAACATTAATATGTTTAAGAAGAGTTTAACATGAACTAGCAGAGCATTTTACCTGCGTCCTTGTTCATTTACGTCATCTACGGTGAGCGGATGAGTTCAGCCAGCCACTCATTTCGGTAATAGGTAGAAACTTTAATTCATTTGTAAAGACTACAACTACTACTGGTCAGTCGCTTTTTTGGCATACGTGAATCCTGAGAAGATTACCTCGATGTACAACTGAACTAATAAATATAAATTCCAAATGATTTCTTTAGTAAGTCGGAAGTCAACAGCTTATGTTGCTTAAAACTCGAATCAATATATAGTGCCGCCACATACATTTGAGTTCGCTCATATTTAAATTAGGTTAAGCCTTTCGATTAATTTATTTAAATGGGTGCTTCGTATAACAATAATTTATATGTACAATTGGCTTTTATTATTGTCTGGTTTGTATGAACTGGTGCGACTACTGAACACTGCCAACCGTCTACGCTCATATTTATCCTGTTCACTTTAATGTTGGCCTGTCAAGTATTTCGACGACTCAGACATTTTTCTATGTATATATATGAACATTTTAATCTCACTCGCACATTCACCCGCTAGTGTGCCTGCCCGGTCTGCGTGTGGTCTGCTATCCCTATTTGTGGTGTGCCAAAATAACCGTATTCAACACTTCGAGTTTACCTTCTGATTTATTAACCGTCAGACGCTATTTAGTAACGATTTTCTGGACGAGCTAATTACGAAGTCTAAGAATGCGTTGGATACCGACCGTCACAAAACTAGTGATACATTGCTCACCACAAAAAATAAGTAGTATTTTTTTCGTTCATTATAATCAGTCATTGATTTACAGAAACTCTTCTCGTTTTACATGTGTATGAATTCAGCTGATGGAGTATTCTCACTACAAATAGTGTGCAGTGTGTGTGTGTGTAAAAATATGTCGAGCCCACTGAGCTTGCTCCAACCGTTGGACAAATTAACTAATCCACTCTTCTCGAGTCATTATTCTCCTCGTCTTTCGACCTTGCTTATTTTTCGCTCGTATCCTTAGTTGTTTTTACTTGAGTGTGCATGGAGTTAGCGACCACATCCCCTAGAAAACCAACTTGTGAACAAAATGCTAACCAGATCAATTACGCCTGTATATAAACCACGTATGCTTGAAATATTCCATTCGATTTGATTCGATCAACGGAATTCTGAACTCAACGGGAACAGGAAGAGAATCCTGAACCAATAGGAACATGGTCCTAATGTAGAGGTTACAAACACCTAATCTTATTCTGATTGGTGTTTTTTGTGTCATGTGATATTAGCCAATAACGAATAGCTGATGGGAAGAACATTTGATTGGTCAGTATTCGAACACAACACATGAGTTCACAGTTATCCGTATCAGATAAAATACTCAAACAACAATCATAAACAGACAAATCAAAAAAGTTCACAAAGAACTTACTTTATCTACTGGATCAACTAATGATCTGCCTTCAACCAATAATTTCACGATTGACAAATTACCAGATGATGCAGCCAAATGCAGTGGTGTTCGATCAAAACTATCTCTTACATTAATATCACATTTATGTCCATCAATAATTCGACTGACTAAATCAATACGATTTTGTTTTACTGAAGCGAATAAAATTTGTTCAATTTTTCTTACTAAAATATTGAATAATGAATGGACGAAATTTTAAAAATGATCAGGTTATATTATATCATGGGGGAAATGATTAAGCAAAGTTGAACTTTCAAAACTGTTCTACTTGAAGTGATGGTTTATACTTTATAGTTTAATGATTATCATATCTGTGTATTTATCTAATTTTAAGCTTTATTGTGCTGTACAAACAACTGTTATTCAATCCATTTCAAAGTATATTGTACAGTCTCATGTATATTGAATTAACTAATCTATATTATTCCACGACTGATGTGAACAAAGCTGAATGATCGGCGTTTATCCGCTTTCAGTGTTAGTGTTCCCTAATCTTTGTATTTATTCAGTGATTAAGATAATCACGTGAACTCAAACCAGGTAGTCTGCATCTATTTACAAGATTTAATCCAAAAGTCAATATTTACACGAGCAGATATAATATCTTGATGTGGTGAACTCTAGTTTTCTTCTACATTCTAACAGCAGCCATTACTGAGCGTTGAAGTAGCCGACGGATGCGTTTACGTACTTAGGTGCTCTAACCATCTCAGTCAATGAAGATTTACCACCTTGTCAATCATTTACTATCACACGACTGTCCTAAAAGTTGATCACTTGATGACACCTAAAATGAGTAGAAAATACTTATGCTATTAAATACTAGTAACCTCTCAATATCCTCCATTTTAAAAAGTCATGTTTTATGACCTTGAAGGAGAACGAAGCGAAATAATGGGCAGTAAACTTGTCCTTCAAGTTGACAAAGAGTCAAAGCGAATTCTCGTTGAAATCGTAAAAACATCTCATTATTCTTATTATTAGCGATTTAACCAATGTTTAATTGATTCAAAATTATTAAATCAAACGTTTTCAATAAAATTTAGGCCAAATTGATATAAGACTCGTGAAACAACTAAGAAGGTCACACTTCAACATGAAATCAACATTGAGGATGTTGTTCAAAACGAAAATGACAACTCGCTAACAAATCATCTAACCTAGAAAATTCAACAATACTAAAAGCATTCACTTGAGTTGCAAGCTGTCCTTGTCACTTTTATCTTACCTGCATCTATTCAACCAATATAAATGACATCCAGAAAAACATCTGGCATCTTGTCAAATCTTCATTGTATTCTAATTACTAATTATGTGTTTATAGATGGAAATATAAGTTTTCACAGTTTTAACTAAGAACTGACCGCCATCAAGAGCTTAGTAGTAGTGTACGATGGTTTCATCCTAATGTGGGACACTTAAGCAACGTATCTACGACGTCATCACTAAGCATAGTGCTCAGAACATTAGGCTTCATGCACAAACGTTTAATCTCTGATCAACAAAGCCAGGATCAAAAAATGTTAATGTCTAATCAAAATATAAATTGAAGAATAAATAAAATGTAAAATATTCGAGTTAGTATTTGATCAAGACTAGCTGTGATCAAAAATGATTCAAGAAATAAACTTAGGATATTCATCTATTGCGGCGATGAACACTGTGAATTAACACTCCTGAGATAATGTCTGTCTAGTTTGGCTTGGGCTTTAATGGCTTTTAAAACTAATTTAGTCTGGACAGTGAAACGTTTAATTCAACAATCTTTTAGACATATGATAACAACAAATATCATTAGAAGCTTGGAGGCACTTGACGGCTACTTCGTCCTGGTAAGGGACTGATCGGCAGTGCGCAACCACGACTCCCTTTTCTCGCAGAAGTCGAACCCAAAACCCTCAGCCTTTCATGTGAACGCTTGACCATCTAGGCCACAGAGCTGGTATCCGATGTTGTTAATGTTTAGATTCAGTCAATCTTCGGTTTTGCGCAACCTCATCCACTATATTCCGTGAGCTCTGCTTAATAATAGAACAGGATTGAACCTAAGTGGTCACGAAACGGGACAAAATGGCCGTTCAAAGCTTCCAGGTTTCTAACAGCTGTCTAACACTGATCGATACGTGATTTCAAAGTAACTCAACCATCTCCACAACCCTGCCATAAAAAATTAACAAACATATTCCAGCTACATGCTTATAAAAATACATAAATTGTATTTTATTAATCTTTTCGTAGTTGAAACACCACCCCGATTAACCAGTTGACTGATTTTCTAGTTTTCTAACTGATGATCTATCAAAGTAGTAAATGCCATAATGTATCAGTCCAGAGGTAACGATTCTTAGAGTACTTGAGTTAAATAGATACTTTACAAATGGCCTAGAAAACTTATTTTTAATGTTCTAATTATCTGTAATTATGTCAATCGTTAAAAATTACTGCATGCTATATATTAGATTATATGTAATTAACGATGTTTAACATCTCAAGTTGCAATTATATATCACATGATTAGAAGATATTTGCAATACTCTACATACCAGCTCAAAAAATTACCAACATTAATGTATTTTTAGAGTTTGGGTTTTACCTGGAAATGTTGAATAATTTAGCATATAACATGGAATGACCTGTTAGTTAGACAATTATTAAAAGCAACGATGAAAAGACAAGACAGATATTTCGTCCTTGTATAGGACACATCCACGACGCTACCAGGGATCGAACCCAGAATATTTAGACTTTGAAGGAATCGATTACTCTTTGGTTCAATAAAACAATATCCGATTGGTTATTATTTTAAATTATGGATTTTTATCACAGTCGACAGTTTTTATTGCTGCATTCCGAAATATTACGGCAGGTTCTTGTAGTGCCTGCTTGTTGTTGACAAGTGTCATTTTATTTACCTGGTATCACAAGTCAGTCAATGTTAGATCACCATTAGAAACCTGAAAGCACTGGATAGCCGTTCCACCCTGGTATGAGACTCGTCATCAGTGATCATCCGCGACTTTCGCTACATGCAGGAATCGAATCCAGTACCTTCAGTCTTGCGCGCGAAAGCTTAACTTCTTGACCACTGAGCCGTCATCCACCAACGCTAGTATCTAGCTTTGATCAATCTACGGTACTGATCAGCAATATTTCAGGACAAAATGCTTCCAGGTTTCTAATGGTGGTCTAACCTTGATCGATTCATCATTTCAATCGAACGCAGCAATCTCTACAGCCCTATAGTGAAAGTGTTATTTTTGTTTCAGTTTGTAAGCTTAACATAAAATATACTGCAAATATTAAGAATAAGTATTTAGTTTAGACAATAATTAAAACAGCTGTTGATTGAAACACAAGCCATTTCTACTACTGACCAAACCAACATCGCAGAATCATGTGAAATTGACATATTAGGGATTCATTTGGAGCTCTGAATTAGGTTTACAAATTAGGATTAGAATTTTCATCTGAAAGTGACATCAACTGTAATGAAATGCTTTGTGAGTCTTTTGTTTACAAACTTAGAGAACTAGCGTAATAGTCATATGAACAACCATCTCCTACCTTGATGGCCATGTTGTCGCGTACAGGAGTAGGCTGGAAGGAAGTGATAGGTGGGTGAACCAAAACGTGGCATTAATCCATGAAGTTACCAACAAATGAACCGAACCATGTTAACACGTGTATACCTTCTTAATTGGGTCTATCTGATTATCATAATCCACAGGTAGATACTTTAGATGCTATGGCTTAAAATTATTCATAGTGGGTTAGATTCATCGACTATTTATCCGTACCTAGATTCCAAGCTTGTGTATTCCTCATAATTGTTTTACCTATGTTTCATCGTATAGCTTCTGGGATGCATATTCCGTTTTTAGTGCCACTGATCCTGTTACTAACTCTGCCCCAAAGTATCTCGGTATGGGAAAGAGTGGGAAGAGACGCTCCCTTTATAAATGCTCCTATAAAACCTTTCGTATAAAGTCACTGTGACGAATGTCCTATTCACTGCCTTCTGGTGACTACACTATCACTAATGAAATCGAGAAGGCGAAAAGCAGATGGATGTCATTTAAACCGAGTTGGTAAACACAGAGGATCCACCATACGGTCAACAGAATCCAAAAATAACAAAATGTGCATGAACCTATTGTTGCTTTTCTGTTACCACGGGATCACATCTCCCAAAGTTGCTTCGCTACCTTGTGGATTGGAATTCTTGGCCAAAGGCTCGAGAAGTGGCTCCCTAATAAAATGATCTGCTTCAGCTGGAACACTTGGAAAGTACTCTATGCTACTCAAGTTCAATGATCCATATGGTGCGTATTAAAGTTTGGCATTACTTTGAAATAAATAATAACTCTACTGCTTTGGGATTTACCATAAAAATTTCATCTCGAGTTTCTAATGGGTTATTGCAACTTAAGCCAATGTCTACCTGTATCAGACTCTATACTGTGTTGGAATGATTGACTAACTGATCCAAAATGGAAACGAAATTCTGATGAAGTCATTATTAAAGAAGTTTGATATAAGAACTATAATAACAGTTACTGAATTCAAACAAATGAATCTCTTGTAGGACTGAGATGTATTCACATGACAATATCATGTCTCTCAGCAGTAAGGTTTCAAACTATGCAGCTTGATGAAGCAGATCGTAATTTTCTCAAAAGTGCGGGCAAGCCTTGATGATGAGTTCCAACTATCGAGAGACGTCAGGAAATCAGGGTTTCCTGTAAATCGTCTCCAACCTATCAAAACAATTTAAAAATCTGTGTACTTGGCTAAATTGTATAAAACTCTCCAGATTACTATAGATCGTGTTATGTGACGAAAAAATACCCATAAATACGATTGTACAACTTCTGAGAAAATGATAAGTGATTGTACTAAACTAATATATTTTGATGGTGCATCACGTTAGTTATAAGTTGAATTGGGTAAAAGTACCAAAAATTGATGGCCTTGAGTGAACCAATCAGAATTAAGATAATATCTCATGTATTTTTCGCAAAATTCAAAACGCAACAACAGATAATTAGTTTGCTATTATTGTTATTCATGACATAAACAGTAACACTACATGAACACTAAAATTCATTAAATCAATAAAAAGTTCCTCATGTACAATCAAAATGTGAATTTAAAAAGGTATTCA